CAACCAATGCAAGTGTTCATAGTGACTTTCCATTTGGCCCTGAAGTTCTAATACATGACTGCTTCACTCCTGGACTATGATTTTCAGTGGGAGATGGAAGTTTTTCAGAGAACTGAACTGTGGAAAAATGACCTTTCCTTAACTTGAAGCTACTTATGTGAGGGGTCTGGCCCAAAAGAAGAGGATTATCATATTGGAGTCATGATGACATATAGTGAGAGTAATGACTAACTCCAAAGATGGCTTCACTGAAGAGACATTAAAATTCTTGTCAGAAGATCCCAGAAAAATTCTAAATTCCATTGGCAGTTAATTATTTACGCAGAAGTATCTACCTCAGAACACTGCTCTCTTTTGATTTGTACTTTTTGGCCTGGGATATGGGTTTTAAATGGACATTGTCTGTACCAGCTTCATTAAAATAAACAAAATATTTGTAAAAACCCTACTAATGTTCATCTTATTTTTAATTGTATAGAAAGAAAACAATAAAATTCCTAAAACATCAGATTTTCTTGCATGATACTGGAAGTTATTGTTTAAACATAGTACACATTTTCTTCAGTACTGTATAGTGATGATGTTAATGACTTTGAAACACTGAAAGTTACTGAAGTGCCTTCTGGATTAGGATTTAAATAAGGCCACAATGTCATCTTAAACTTTATTGCTCTGTTAATACTGTATGGTATACATATATATGATATAGTTACCTAAACATGAATAAATGGGTACACCAACATTTCTTAATTGGTTTATAGTTATAATTTCCATTTTTCTTTTAATAATTTACAAAATGTTCTTTGTTTAGTCAGATTTGGTGTATTAAATATTGTTTATATTTTTCTTATGTCTTAAATATTTAAACTTTTTGTAAAATTAAAATACTAAATTAGTTTGTTCTTATGAGGCTTAATTTTTCCTTTCAAGTCTCCAGTGAGGTTCAGTTTATTGATTCATACACATGATCTAATTTCATATTGTTTCAAATTGAATGCCATCTGACTGCTAATATGAATGTATTTTACAGACTTAACAGCTTAGATGATACCTTATTCAAGTTAGCTGTTGAAAAACTCAGTTGGCTTGACCTTGTATTTTTCAGCTTCCTAAATACGACTCTTACTGAAAAAATTGTATTAAATGTGTACAGGGTGGGTAGAGTTGAGCTTTAAAGTTACACTCTCATCTGTTATTTATCATTACATACATATAGAAGGGCTAGCTACTGGGAAAGTGGTGATTTTTATGCTTTTTTAAAAAAAATTGTGCTTTAAGGGAAAACCACAGAAAATGCAATAATTGATGTAAAATTTCCATGGCATTGGTTGTAGTCCTTGCAATGTGTCAGTACTATTCTTGTTTTCACCCTGGATTCCCTCCTGTTTCCGAATGTCTGGGCTCTTCCCTCCTTTCTCATCTTTACTTTTGGACAAATACTACCCTTTGAGTCTCATGTAGGTGATGGTTCTGAGGTGCACATTTTATAATAAGCCAGTCTATTATTTGTTTAAGAGGTAGCCCTAGTTCCAAATGAGGGTGCTTTAGGGCAGTAATCCTGGGGTTTTGATCTTTCTAATGAATATGAATTTTTTATGTTGTTTTGTCCATTCTTACTGGAACCTTCTATTGTGTTTTGGTTGAGCAGTTTAGTAGTGGTAGCCAGGTACCATCTGCTATTCTCAGGGTAGAGGAAGCTGAAGTTCATGTTAAGCCATTGGCCCTTTTGAACTGATTAATTTCTTGAGTCTTTGGTGTTTTTCACTCTTGTTTGCTACAGGCAATTAAAGAAACCAATAATAGGATCTTAGGTAGCCACTCATCAAACTAGAGTGTAAAAGATTACCTTTATGAATGATAATAATATGCCAGTTGATCTAGTTGTCTCACCAGATTGGTCTTTAGCCTTCAAACCTAGTAGAACAGTCTCATAATATGTTCCATTATGTGTAAGAAGTTCCCTTAACTGTGTCTTGACAGTGTGCTATTCCATGTATATGAATATACCTGCAGCACATATTTGTAGAAATGTTCATGCTTTAAAATCTCCCACACTTATTTAGCATATATATTTATGTATTCATTCATAAATTGGTATTACTATTGTAGGATTGTAGACGTTAAAGTATTTTCTGTGGTTACCCTTTATTGCATACATCTTTTCCTTTGTCATTTTGCTGACTTAGGGGAAGTAATTTCCTTTCATTTCGTTAACTAGACTTCTATATGCATTACATTCTACTATGGCTAACTTAAAAAATGTCCTTATCTAGAATGTGCTGACAAAATAAGAATTTCACAGTTATTTAGTAGGCTGTCAGATTTGGAAGGGACCCGGAAGAACTTTTACTGTAGCCACTCTTATCTGGTGCTTGAATGCAACATCTTAAATTTGTACAAGGGAGAAAATAAAGTCAGTAATGACAGTTTCTCCCACAGGATGGTTTTCCTTGAGTATTCTTTTGTTCTTGGGTTTTATTATTTTTTTTTTTTTTGTTCTTGAGATGTTCTTTTATCTTTTGATTATGTATTAATAAATGAATGCATTCAGTGGGTAAGCAGAATTGACAGGTTGGAGTGATAGTTTAAGGAACATAAAACCTCACCATACAAACCATATGTATAAACCTATATAAATATGTTATATATAAAGTATAAACCAGGGTATTGATTATTTTATTCCTATATCATTTCACATAAAGGAAAGAGTTAAAGTATTCAACCTAAGCCGGTAACAGCAATGCTGTAATGTGTCATCTCATTGTGGCCAACTTATAGTAGACCCTCCCATGGGTTTTCAGAGGCTAAATCATATGCAAAGATATTTCCCATCATTCTCTCTTGGAGTGTTTGGTAAATTCAGACCACCTGCCTCTGGGTAGGCAGCAAAACTTTTTATAGGACCCAAACTCTAGTAACCTTTTCAAATACAGACCAGAGAAGATAAGTAGGAAAATCTAGGTTCAGATATTACATAAGCATCCTTTTGTTGTCATTGAGTTGATTTTGACCCATAGTCACCCCGTGTGTAGAGAGAGACAAAAACTGGTCCATAGAGTTTTCAAGGCTGTGACCTTCCAGAAGCGGATCTCCAGGCCAGCCTTCCAAATGAGTTCAAACCACCAACCTTTTGGCTAGTAGTTGAGTGCTTAATGGATTGTATCACCCAGGATCACCTAACATCTTTTTAGCAAATAATTTACTAGCATTCTTTATTTCATGGTACATCCCTTTGTTTAAAAGGGTGCATGGATAGAGTCTTCCTGATAGTGTGATTTAAAGGGAGAGTTTTGTTTTCTGAATGACTGGCTCTTCAGAGCTAGGAACAAAGATTTGAGATTTGTTACATTTTCAAGGCTTTAGAACAGTGCTACTTGTACTTCATGTGGTAATGGAAGTGTCCCATATCAGCACTGTCCAGTATGATAAATAAAGGCACTTGAAATATGACTAAAGACTTCAGTGGCCATAAAGGGCTTTGTTGTATGCTGTAAAGTTGATTCCAGTTAATAGCAACCACATAGAAGAGAGTCAATAAAAAACTAATAAAAGACCCTCTAGCAGGATGGTGCAGGGTGGGGCAAAGTTCAGGTCTGTTGACAGTGTTGCTAGAACTGGAGTTGACACAATGACATCTAACAATATAGGATAGAGTAGCACTGACCCGTAGGCTTGTGTTGGTTGGAGCAGAGTACTGAATAACCCATGGACTGCCAAAAGAACAAATATGACCTGGAGAAGGTGCAGCCAAGGTGCTCCTTGCAGGTAAGGATGGTGAGACTTTTGTCTCACATACTTTGGGCTTGTTGTTAGGAGAGGCCAGTCCTTGGAAAAAAGACATGAGGCTTGGAAGGGTGGAGGGGCACAGTGACTTAATGAACTCTAGAATATCAGAGATAAGCATGGTACAGGATAGGACAAGTTTCAGATCCATTGTTAATAGGGTTGCTATGAGTCATGAGACAATACTTAACACAATCTGTATAGGAGTGGATTGTCAGACAATCTACTTTGTGGGAGAGAAGAACTTCCTCAAAGCCACTTGTGTGTTCAAATGCCAACCTTTTCACTTAGCAGCCAAATGCTTAACTGTTGCACCATGGGGGCTCCTTCGCATATACCTACTGGCTCTCATGTTGGACAGTGTAGCTCTGGAATCTACAGCATGCGAGAATGGTCTTTTAAAACTCCCCACTGTTTAAATGAATAAGCAAGTGGTTTAAAACATTCCTTTAAATATTAAGTTTTAGATTCTCAGGATGAAATGAATGTGGTTTTGCATTATAAAGTAAAACAGCAAGCTCTTTTTAGCACATTCTGACTTGTTTTTATTACAGAATTTTAATTGACTTGTGACTCTTAAGACTCATTGACATGAAATACTTTGATTATTCTGAGATAGTGTTTCAAACAAATGAAATGAGCAGTTGAAGACACCCAAGTTGCAGAATTTATATGGTTCTAGAAAACCAGGATGTCTGATGGGAAGGGGTCTTGTAGGAGAAAATCTTAGATTGGGTTAAAATAGGTAAAATGGACCTAACTTGGCTCAGGATGAAACGTCTGTTACTACCTCCCAACTTACTTTTTAGTTCTCTTTTGCCTTAATGCTTGGAATTTGCAGGAACTGGAAATAAGAGTATACCCATGGTCTGGAAATGTTGTGTGTCCACTGCAGGCCGCTGGCTTCCTTAAGGAACTCTTGACGGAAATGAAGATGTTCTTCCAAATTAGCTTTTTGCCTGTGGAGACAACCCCACTCATAATCCCTTTACTGTTTAAAGGCTCTAGAAGTTATCTGCATAAACTTGTAGAAGAACTTTGGATTCTAGCAGTCATCAGATCTGCGGTGTTGGTTATGCATTTCAGATCATGACAGTTAAGAATTTTATATGGGCTTAACATGTTGATTGCCATAGAGTCGAGCACAACTCATAGCTACCCTATGAGCAAAAGGCCTGAAGCCTTTCTATAACTATCGTCATTTATCAAAATTCATAGTTTCCAAAGGAATGTTGTTTAGGAAGTGGATGCCACCTCTTATTGGCAAAATGGAAGGAAAAGCATAGTTCAGAGTTAAACGTGTCTTTCTAGAAGAGGTTTGTTTTCTCAATGAGGAAACAATCCTAGAGAAAGTACCAGGGCCATGGGCACACAAATGATTAACCATATCCTTCAGTTACTTGGTAGTGCTGCTTTTAATCACTTGGACTAGCTTTATAAAATTACCTAGTTTCCCTTTTTGTGATGATAAGTTTTGTGTAGATGCTTTCTCTTTCTGGTCCCCTAAAGGGGGAGCTCTGTGGCCTAATGGGAAAGGGGTTAGTTACAGTGCCAACCCAAAGGCAGAAGATTTGGATCCACCAGCTGTTCGATGGGGTAAGATGGGCTATTTACAGCCTCTGAAAATCTGTTGGAAGGTCAGGTAGGAAGGAGTCCATGCACTGAGTTTGAGTTTTCAGGAAATTGTTCTTATGTTTGTACTCTTGAGTTGGAACTGATCTCTGCCAGCAGGTTTTTGGAGGCTGTAAATCATGTGGGAGGAGAATGCCTGTCTTTTTCCCATGAAGCAGCTTGTGGATTCAAACCATGATCCTTTGGGTTGGCAGCACAATTCTTTACCACTAATCTAGGCTCCCTTTCAGGAAATGTTGACTGTCTTCAAGTCAAGCACAACTCATAGTGACCCTATGAAGAAAAGGCCTGAATCCTTTCTTTGACTATCGACATTTATCAGAGTTCATAGAGTTTCCAGAGGCATGTTGTTTAGGAAGTGGATGCCACTCTTGCTTAGGAGGGAAAATTAATTACATTCATTCCGCAGAGCCCCCTTTCATGAAATTAGGAGAACTAAATTACGTAACTACTATATCAATGACTTATGGTTTGTTTTGTTTATACAGAGTCAATTGAGATCACATAAAAAAAGATGTCCTAGTATCAGAAAATTGTGACGATTATTACTAAATAATGTTTGGCCAATAAAAGGAAGACGTGCCTTTGGCACCTAATGACTGATCCTACGCTATTTCTCCTAATAAGCCTGTAATGAGTCTTGGCCCACTTCTTTGCTGTCTTCCTGAAGTCTTCTTTACCCCTATGTACTTTGTTCCAGCCATCCTAACTTTCATTCTTCCAACATGCTAGTCTCATCCCTTTTTGAAACGGCACTTAACATTTGTTGGGATCTTGTCCTCCCATGTCTTCACGTGGTTGACAGGTCTCATATATCACCCACCTCTTCTGAGAGGTCTTGTTCTGATCAACCTACTGAAAATAACTCACCTACAACCTTAACACATTTTTTTATTTTATACATAGCATATATTAGAGACGTCTCCTGTTCCCACCCCTGGAATGTAAATATTGTGGGAGAAGAGACCTTGTCAGTGTTGCTTACTGTGTTTGGTACATTAAAAGCACCTGATAAATACTTACTGAGAACAGGCAGTAGGCTTATAATCAGGAGCCTTAGATCTGGTCCTGACACTTCTTAACTCACTGTTGTTATTATTGTGGGAGGTTACTTCAGAATTGACTCATGGCTTACCTGCCAGTAGGCTTTCAGAGACAGCAAATCTCATTGTTGGAGACTGCCAATCCTCCCAGAGAAGCTGGTGGATTCAAACAGCACCTAGCCCTGCAATCACTGATTAGCCCTGACCAAATTGCTTTCCCTCTGGGGTTTAGTCGTTTTCTCATCTGTAAATGGAATGATTGAGATAGATCCATAAACTCCCTGCAAATGTCAGTATACTCTGAATTTATAAACACACACCCTACAAAAAAGCATGAAGAAATTATCTAAAGCTTGCAGTCAAAGACTGTTACTTAGTCCTTCCAAGTCTTAGTTTAGAAAGTGGGAAAACTGAATTTGCCCAAAAGCAATGAAAACTGATACTAGGAGCATGGCATTAAACCCCTGAAACACTATGGTACCTGTTGCCCAAATATGGACCCCATACCTGGCAAGTTCCTGGGCTTGCCTCATGGCTTCCTCCAAAGCCAGCCTTGCCGCTTCCTCTTCTCTTTGCCTCTTCTCCTCTGCCTCCAGCCGAGTCCTCTCTTCCTCTTCCTGTTTCCGCCGCTGGTACTCTAGCCGCTCTTCTTCAGCCATTTCCATTAGGCGCTTCTGTTCTTCTGCTAACTGCATTTCCAGCTCCTTTTGCCTTTGTTTCTCTGCCTCTGCGAAGTAGAAAAGGGAGGTGCCACAAGGTTTTCCATATTGGGGAAAGTGATGCTGTGAGCTATTCCTGAAACCTGCAATTTTCAGAGACTGCATAAGAAGACCTGCAGCCGACTTGCCAGCGGACTGCAAGATCCTCTGTGGGGATGACTTTTGGAATGGATTTACTAATTAGCTCCTCAAGCATGAGTCGCCCTGGGTGGTGCAAACTCTTACTGCGTGTAACAGCTAAACTGAACATTTCGAGGCTCAAGTCCATCTAGGTGTACCTTGGAAGAAAGGCTTGATAGTTGCCTTCCAAAAACCAGCCACTGATAATTCTACCGAGCATAGTTCTACTCTGATACATACGGGCTTGAGTAAGTGTTGCTATTACACCTGGTTACTGGTTATTCAGCACCTATGTGCACTGCCACCACTCTCCTGTCAAATGTCATACTCTGTGAGAACCACTGTGATGCTAGAAGCTATGCTAACTGCTTTAATTATCATCAGGTCACTCACTCATGGTGGACAGGTCTCAGTGGAACTTGCAGACTAAGACTAGGAAGTAGGATGCTGTTCACTTTTGAAATAATTGGCCAATGAAATCTTATGAACCTGTCTGATACAGTGCTGGAAGCAGAGGTGCTCAGCTTGGAACTTAAAAGACAAATGGGGAAGAGGTGCTTCCTCAAAGTACAGTCTATCTTGATGTATATAGACGAAAACTTACAGGCAATGAAGAATGTTATATGTGGCAGGACTCAAAATTAGAAAAAACTGCTGCAAACATCCAGTAATAACTGAAACATGAAATGTGAAAAATAAGAAACTAGGAAAATTGGAAATTACTGAAAAAAAAAAAATAGAATGAGTGAAGATCAGTAGCCTAGGTGTTGTGTACCATCAAGTCAGAACTGACTCATAACTGATCCTCCAGTGGGTTTTCTGAGGCAGTAAATTGTCCAGGAGGAGACTGCCCATATTTCTCTCATGGAGCAGGCTTTGGGATGGTAGCATAGCTCTTTACCACTAGGCCACGAGGGTTTCTTATCTTAGACATTGGTGGTGGTGGTGGTACCAGTGAGTCAAGTATGACTCATAGCAGCCCTATGAAGAACATCTGAATTCTGACCTCTTCTCTGCCATCCTTGCCATCTCTAATACACTTGAGCCCAGTGCTGCAGTCACTGTGTCAACCCATCTCATTGGGGGTCTTTGTCTCCATCTTTCCAAGTGGAAATTCCTTTCCAAAGAATATCCTCTCTGGCAACATGTCCAGAGTATTAGACATGAACTTCACCATCCTTACCTCCAATGAGCCCTCCAACTGCACCTTTTCTAAGACCTATCTGTTCATTCTTTTGGCAATTCATGGGATTTTCAGTACTCGTCTCCAACATCACAACTCAAAGGCATCAATTCTTCTGTCATTCTTATTGACTGTCTAGCCCTCAGGTGCATAAGAAAGTAGTTGTAAATACATCATTATTTTTTCAGTATTTTGGAGAGGTCTCTGACAGGAAACTTGCCCAAAGCAGTATGTCTCCTTATGTCCTGACTGCTGGTACCAAGATTGTTGATTATGGATCCAAACAAGATAAAATTATTGACTGTTTTGATCCTTTCTCCATCTATCATGATGTTGCCCATTGGCCCAGTGGTAAGGACTTTTGTCTTGATGATAAGATGCAACCCATCATGTACAGACTCTCAACTGGATAGTAGGTTGCTATGAGTCGGAACCAACTTGAAGACAGTTTTTAAAGTTTTGGTGCATTCTCATCCTCATAGTGTTAAAAATACATGTGATCAATTATATGTTCATTGTCAGCAATAAAAATATGAGGAGGAAAAGAAGATGCAATCCATATTGAAGGCTGTAGTTATTGATCTTCTGCAACAAGTGCTTCAGGGCCTCTTCTCTTTTAGCAATCAAAGTTGTGTCATCTACATAGTGCAGATTGTTGATGAGTCTTCCTCCAATCTTCATGGCATTCTTTTTCATAGAGCCTGGCTTCACGAAGTATTTGTTAAGCATACAGGTTACATAGGTATTAAGAAAGGATACACCTCTGACGCCTTCCTAATTTTAAACCATACAGTATTCTTCTTGTTCTGTTTGGATAACAGCTTCTTGATCTAGGTATAGAATTCATGTGAGCACAATTAAGTGTTCTGGGATTTCCATACCCCTCCCTTTTTTTTTTAAATAGCAAACATGCTTTATTTCAAATGTGCGTTTTGGTGAAAGTGGGCTAAGGCTTAATTTAGTATCATCTAGGATTCCCATTGGAATGTTAGCAATAGTTTGTTGTGATCCACACAGTCAAATACCTTTGTATAGTCAATAAAACACAGACATTCTTTTGATATTGTCTGTTTTCTGCCAGGATCCATCTGATATGAGCAATGATATCCCTGGTGCCATGGCCTCTTCTACTAAACCCAGCTTGAATTTCTGGTAGTTCCCTGTCATTGTACTAGCTATTTTTTAGTGAACTCCAGCAATATATTGCTTGCCTGAGATACTAATGATATGTTCAATAATTTCCATAGTCTGTTGCATACTTTCTTGGGAAATGGGAAAAAATGTAAATCTTTTCCAGTAGTTGACCAGACATCTGTCCTCCAGGTTTTCTGGCATAGACTTGTGATTATGTCCAGAGTTGCATCTATTAGTTGAAAAATGTTGATTGTTATCCCATCTATTCTTTTTTTCCCTTAGTTTTATTTTTTTCCATCTATTCTTGGGTCTTATTTTTTGCCAGTGTCTTCAGTGCAGCTTGAACATCTTTTGTTACCATTGCCTTTTGTCCATATGATGCTTCCTGAAATTTTTCAGTGTTGACCAGTTCTTTTTGGTATAGTGATTCTGTGTATTCCTTTCATCTTCTTTTAATACTTCTTAGAACATTCAAGATTTCTCCCATAACATCGCTCAGTATTGCATCTTGAGACTTGAATTTGTTTTTCAGTTCTTTCAGCTTGATAAATGCTGAGCCGATTTCCCCCTTTTATTCTCTGACCCTAGCTCTTTGTACATTTTGTTATATTTCTTTGCTTAGGCATTAGTGAGCTGGAAAGCATTGGCTATTTCAAATCAGTCATATAGTCTGATATGCTGTGAGGGACCTCCGGTGGTTTCCAAAAGGAGTTACACCACTAACCTGAAAGTGTCTGGTGGTTCAAATCCACCAACCAGTGGATCTTAGGAAGAAAGATAGGCAAGCAATCTCCTCTCAGGTGATTTACAGTCTTGAGAGACAGCAATGAGTTGGTTCCAGCTCAGTGGTAATGAGAGAGAGAGAATATGTTGAGAATGATAAATTGAAGAGGAATAGAACCATATATTCATCATAAAAAAAAGAACATCTCAAGATCTGTCCTGAGGTATAATACTGTCAGTGACAGTACAGTATCCATGTATCTATAAGGAATGCCTAGTAACATGACTATTATTCAGACCTAGCACCAACCAATAAAGACAAAGGTGAAGAAACTAAGGATTTCTACCAGTTCTGCAGTCTGGAAAGAATTGAGCATGCAATCAAGGTGCATATCATAACTGAATGCCAAAGCTGGAAGTGAGGAAGGGTTGTTGGTTGGTATTTATGACCTTAGAGAATCAAGGCTTGAGATTGCAAGATAGAATTTTGTATAACCAAAAATTTACTTATGGCAAGTACCTTAAAAAAACCTCACTACATCAGAACATAAACTGCTACTGTACAGATGAACCTCACCTGAGACATGAGAGACAAATAGGCTGCGTATGTAGAGAAGCACAATATCATCCGAACAAACTTAGGGACCGACGTGAAACAGATCATCATTTACTCACGCAAGTTCATGTGGAAGCTGAAGAAAATGTAAACAAATACATGAGAGCCAAAATAGGGCCTTGAGAATATCCAGCCTGAATTTAGAAACCATTTCAAGACTAGAATCGATACAGTAAACACTAATGACTGAAGACCTGATGAGTTCTAGGATGACATTAAAGCTCAAAGATGCATACATGATGAAAGTGAACAGTCATAAAAGAAGACAAAATTGGGTGTCAGAAGATACTCTGAAGTTTGCTGTAGAATGTAGAGAAGCTAAAGCAAATGGAAGAGATAAAGTAAGAGAGTTGAACAGTTTCCTTTTGAAAGGAAAGCTTTAGATGACCAAACAAAGTATTATACTGAAATGTCAAAGACCTGGACTTAGAAAATCAAAAGGGAGGAATGCACTCAGCATTTCTCAGGCTGAAAGAACCAAAGAGCAAATGAAGCCTCAAATGGCAGGAAATTCTGGAGGATTCTATGGATAAAATACTGAATGTTGCCAAAGCATCAAAAGAAAATGTAAGGTATGTACAGTATATACCAAAGTATATACAAAAAGGTATATACCAAAAAGAACTGATCTATGTTGAACTATTGAGGAAGAATCAATGTTCCTAAAGGAAGAAATCCAGATAGCCCTGAAGGCATTGGTGACAAACAAAGCTCAATCAATTGAAAGAATACTAATCGAGGTGTTTTAACAAACATGCAGTGCTGGATGTGAGCACTTGTCTATGCCAAGAAATTGGAAACAAAGTATTGGGCCAACTGACTGAAAGAGATCCATGTTTGTTCTCAAGCCAAAGAAAGGAACAGTGGAAATTATTTTAAAATAATGTGGAAAATATTTTTTAAATATTATTACTATCACATGCAAGTAAAATCTTGCTGAAAAGAATTTAAAAACAGCTGGAGCTGTTCGTCAATAGAGAACTGCCAAAAATTAGGCTAAAGAAAAGGGCATGAAATGAAGCATATCATTGTTGATGTTGGAGGGATCTTGAGTGAAAGCAGAGAATACTGGAAAGATGTTTGCCTGTTTTATTGACTTTGTAAAGGCATCCGACTGTATAATCACAAGAAATTATGGACAACATTGAGAAAAAACAGGAATTCCAGAATACTAAATTTGTCCATGGAAAACCTGCACAGGCCAAGAAGCAGTGATTTGAACAGAACTAGGG